TTAACCTTGATGGTGAGTATTATATATTATAGTTAACATATACCTGTACATGATTAGATCGTTCTCGTCCGTTGGTTTCTAAACTTAAGGACCCCACTGAAATATATTTAATCTCTATATATGGTGCACATATATAATTATCCGAATTAAATATGAACATTGATGTGGTAGTCAAGTATACTATGCTCCAACAGGATGATGCATGGCTTCATTCATTCGTTCATTCCTACTCGTTGATGGGAATTTTGTGAGGGCCATCATCATGTGTAATCTTCGGAGATTACAGTTCACGCATGCATGATCACTGCCTAATTAATTTTGCTAATCAACTCTTAAAGTTGACTCGTATATATATGCATTTAGGGTGTAAGTGAAAGCATATATATAAGGAGAGGTCACTATATCAAAGACACAGTGAACCTACGACTGTTTCGGTTTTTTATACCCTACTAAAATTTGGTAGTATCAGAATCAAAGCAAATTTTAACACTACTAAATTGTTAGTGTGTTTTTTCTTATAAAGACTGGAACAATTCCATTCAGCGGCACATTTTCCACACCACTAACAATGGCTATATAACTTCAGTTTGCAACACAAAAAAACAATGCCCTAGTAATTAAATAATTAATAAACTAATTAACAAAAATATCAGCAAAACGCCAAATGTTTATAATATGACTAGTCACTAATTAACTAGCACATTTTAATCCCCACCTTCCAATTAGGACCACTAGCTCTCATGCATCCATATGTAGTACGACTATGTTATAGTGTAGTTAGTGATTACGACAGGAACACTTCACCTGCAACCATTATACTCAACCCGTTTTAAAATAATTATTGTTCTAAGTTATTTAACATAGATTAAGATTTCAGGAAAAAAACTATGTGATTCCTCATTATATGATTTTTTTTTGTTAGATGTGGGAGTACGGTTGAGAGAAATTTAAATTGGAAGTGATTGGTGAGATAATTAGTACTCTATAAAGATAATTATTTTAGATAAACTTTAAATTCTAAAAGGACAACAATTTTAGAACTCAGGAGTATAATCAAAACCCTAAAACGACGACAATCGGCAGCAACCTTAATTTTGTTCTGCATATTCGTCGAATGCTCGAGTAGTTCTTGGTGTGTTCGTCAGGTTAGGCAGAGATCCGGTAGCTAGTGGCTGTGGCTCCTCGAGAATCCAAATCTGGCGTGGCACCTTCCTCGGGCCCACATTGCATGTCACGCCCGGGCCCACACCCACTGGAATGTGTGGACAGCAGCGCACATGTGGGGCCCACCAATCATTCGGCCCCGCCCTGGAAGCTGACGCATCGCTGGGTTGCTTGGCTGTCGTCAATTTCCTGTCGACTAATTTGTCCAACATTTTTCGGTTCAGAAAGTTCAGAGTTCAGAATTTCAGATACTGAAGAAAAGTTCAGGAAGCATGTTATCAATGATCGATGTGGAAGGGCTGATGCAAATGTGGTTTTCAGTATAACTATTTTGGTTGTGGACAAAGTGTATTCAATTGTATTCGACGAAGTTTTTCGATACGGGCATGCGTGAATTTTCGCCAAATTTGATTTTGGTAGATATATATGTCATGGCTGGTCTTTGCTTGAAAGGTAAGACAACTTCTTGAAATGGACAATAGATGTGCTGGTGTTTTCACTTTTCAGTCGCCTTCTACTTTTGTCATCCACTTGTGCTTTGAAAACCATGACCTGCCAGTATGTCAATTTATCAAGAAACGGCGATCTAGAGAAACTGACAATCACCATAAATGGACATTGAAAATGATCACAAAATATACCCAAATATATATTGGTTGGCCTTAGAGCTCATCAGTAAGTCACCCAAATAAGAAAACATCTCTCAGATTTTCAGCCAACCTTATTAGTTAGTAGAAATTCCTCTCGCGAATAAGTTTAGAGACTGAATGTGCAATTTTATGTAAAAATTTGTAAGTGGAAGATGCATGCTCTCCTACAAAAGTTGTGATATGAATCCTTGGTGTCAGTTTCAGTGAATGGACGACAGATCAAGAGACATATTCTGGGTCACTCTCTTGCTTGTTTTCCACTTGTCACTTGAAATTGGGTGATATAAAAAAAATATCAGTTCACATTCGCAAAATATGGCATGGAGTACTCTCAAACAGAAATAGGCCTTTCGGAATGGCTGAAAACTAAATGTTAGATGTATCTAAAAAATAGAACATATGTTTATAGCCAGGTTGGACCTAAATCCATTATATACTTCTGACAAAAGAACAAAAAACCTTTTTTTTCCCTCAAAGCTTCATGCAAAAATATCACCTAATAAAAAATATTTTCTTAGGTGGCCAAACTTGGAAGGTCACAACTATGGTTGTCAGGATACTTCTACTGAGAAGATAACAAAAAATATATGTGATATGTTTTCCCCAGTTGTTCATATGAGCCAATCAACAGCAGAATAATTTTACCTGTCAAACCAATCAAGCTGGGGAATATACATTTATGCCTGCTCACATAAGGCACTCTTGATGCCTTCTCTGAAAATATCTCATCTACCTCTGCCACCAATCAGCTTCTATTCTACTCCTACTTGTTAATTAAACAACATGGACAAATGCAGTGATCAATGCTCTGGCCAAAGCATGGGTCTTAATGTCTGAAACAAACAACAGATCCTGCTAAATTTGTAGGCCCAACTGTAGCATCAATTCAGCATGGTAAGATTGAAGACAAGAAATGTGTTCTAGTCCATGTTTTATAATTCATTGGTACTCCATTCATCCTAGAAAAAAACCAATTTCTGATTACGAATCTGGACATATCCTTCTCGTTTTCTTTAGGATGGACGGAGTATGCATTTAGAAATGCCATGTGACAAATGCATTCAATCGATCATGTGCTCAATTTAATACTCTGTTCTTATCCTTGGGATTCAGAGCATGCAGGTCTAGCTCTCAGAATATTAGTTAGTGAGCAAGGACAAATCATTTGCCATTAGTTGGAAAAAGAAAATCTGAGTGCTTGTGGAGAAGATCATCTTGTATTGCTTATTTGCTTTAAATATGGGTTTGTCTTGCTTTGCAATGTATACTGATATCAGAAGAGATCTTTCTTTAGACGATGATTAGTGGTGATCTTTAGCCAAATGTAAAGATTAAAGCCAAGACGATGCTTTTGCCCTAGCATCTTTATTGTTGCACATTTAGAGATTAATCAAAGAATGAGGATATGCCACCTTTTATTTTACAATTTAATGGAAGTCTTCTTCTTTTCCAAAAGCTTTTGCTTGAAACATTGTTAATTCTTCCTCAATGAAAGAAATCAACATAAAGTACTAGTTGCTCTGAAGCAACCAAACTGGTATATATGTTCCAATGAGAGTTTATCTGAAAAATGGTTGCCAATGAGAGGAAGTTGCACAAAACTACATACGAGGTAGCAACAAATCCTTAATAAATTTTTGCAAGAAAACAGAAATATGCTATAATTAATACTAGAAAACGACCAACCTGACACTGACTGCAAATCTTTGGGACGCTATTTTGCTATTCCAACAAATCCCTTAAAGTTGTGCTGTCTGAAACTCTGAACCACAATTCACATGCATCCAAGAATTAGAAAGAAAAACTGAATATTCATTTCTAGGAACAATTTAACCTGCGATCTACTATCAGAGAATGTTGTATCACTGTCCAAGTGAGACATATACTGATAGGAAATAGGATAGCTAAATGGAGAGAAGTGATTGATTAGTTGCTCATTAAGTCTAATACTAGATCAGAGTTCAACTTGCGCGTTCGAGAAAAAAGATCAGAGTTCAACAATGATATGTGTCAGTTGTTTTCACACTCTTACCTCTACTGTTCTCAGCTTTCTTCTTCAGTTTTCCCTTTTCCTTCAACAGTGATATTTGGTCATTACTCAGGAACCTTCATATATGAAATAATCAAGCTGATTGAATCAGATTGAGCCAAACATAGCAGATACAAACATATGCAGTTTGATCTATGGAACTGAAAACTTACGTGCCCAAAGAATTGACCACAAAATAGGGACCTTGCACTACTGATTTTTTTTTCTATTTAATTCCTGCAGAATGATCACTGTATTCCAAACAATTCCTTAGATTATAATAAAGTGGGTTGGTGGCCACTTAGAGGAAATTAAACCTGGTGATATTTTTTCCTGTTGTCTTGAGGTTCAGGCAAAGGCATCTTGGTGACAGATTCCATCTGCCAACATACATATATATTGGCCCATGGAGGGCCATTGTCAACACTATGGTAGCAGCTGCAGCTCAAGCATGGCCCACCAGCTTGCAAATATCAATGGCCAATTTGCAACATAATGCCACCACCAGAATGGACACATCAACCCCACACCTCAAAACAACCACAAATAGTACTAACTCCATATTTTAATGTATGACGCTGTTGACTTTTTATCCAACGTTTGACCATTCGTCTTATTCAAAAAAATTTATGTAATTATCATTTATTTTATTATGACTTGATTCGTCATCAAATGTTGTTTAAACATGACATCAATATTTTTATATTTGCACAAAAATTTTAAATAAAACAAATGGTCAAACGTTAGTCGAAAAGTCAACGGCGTCATACATTAAAATACGGAGGGAGTATGATACAGTTGAATCATACACATATTTTCCTTTTCCGTATGTATAGTAAATTAAGGTTTATGTTCGAGAAAACGCCTAATTAAGAACAAATTGCGTGAAATAATATATGTTATAAAATATAATAATTTATCGATATCAGATGGTTAGACGACACCCTTTGGTACACATAAACCCCCTACACATGATCACTCCACCCAGAAACTACTCCAATGTTGCATCACTCTATTGGTTGCAATGTGTCCTTTATACCAATTATAATTAAGATGACACTAACCATGGTTAACTAACCCAACTAAGATGGTTAATTAACTAACCAAACTAATTAAGACAGCCAACTCACCTCCATCATATAAACCCAACACACACATACACACACACACAACTCATCATTCAACAAACTAAACCTAAGACACCAAATCTTGAAGGTGTTTGTGGTTGGTGTCCATGGCCATGGCTGCCATGGACGCGAGGAAGAAGAAGAGCGGCGGCGGCGGCGGCGAGCCGCTTCTCGGCAAGTATGAGCTTGGGCGGATGCTTGGGCGAGGGACGTTCGCCAAGGTGTACCTGGCGCGCGCGGTGGCCGGCGGCGAGGCGGTGGCGGTGAAGGTGATCGACAAGGCGGAGGTGATGGGCACGGCGGGCATGGCGCCGCGCGTGCTCCGGGAGGTGGCGGCGATGCGGCGGCTGCGCCACCCGCACGTGCTGCGCCTCCACGAGGTGCTCGCCACGCGCGCCAGGATCTACCTCGTCATGGAGCTCGCCACCGGCGGCGACCTCCTGTCGAGGCTGGCGGCGCTGCCGCGGCGGCGCCTGCCCGAGAGCGCGGCGCGCCGGGTGTTCGTCCAGCTCGTCGACGCGCTGTCCTACTGCCACGCGCGCGGCGTGGCGCACCGTGACGTGAAGCCGCAGAACGTCCTCCTCGACGGCGACGGCAACCTCAAGGTCTCCGACTTCGGCCTCGCCGCGCTCCCGGGACACGCTCCGCGACGACGGCCGCCTCCACACCGCGTGCGGCACGCCGGCGTACGCGGCGCCCGAGGTGCTCCGCCGCAGGGCCTACGACGGCGCCAAGGCCGACGCGTGGTCGTGCGGCGTCATCCTCTTCGTCCTCCTCGCCGGCCACCTCCCCTTCGACGACTCCAACATCGCCGACATGTGCCGGAAGGCGCACCGCCGCGAGTACGAGCTCCCGCGGTGGGTGTCCCAGCCGGCGCGCCGCCTGGTGAGCCGCCTGCTCGACCCGAACCCGGACACCCGCGTCGCCGTCGAGTCGCTGGCGGCGCACCACCCGTGGTTCAAGCGCTCGCTCAGCGTCGACTCCCAGCTCGACGGCCTCCTCAACGGCGAGCCAGAGCGCGCCGTGGCGTTCCAGGCGGCGCCGCCGCCGCCGCTGAACGCGTTCGACATCATCTCCATGTCTCCCGGGCTCGACCTGTCCGGGCTGTTCGGCGAACACGACAAGAGCCTAAGGGAGAAGCGGTTCACGACGACGGCGTCGCCGGAGAAGACGCTGGAGCAGCTCGGCCTCGCCGGCGGGAAGCTCGGGTACGTGGTGGTGGTGGGGAAGAAAGGGGTGGAGTGCTTGCCGCTGGCGGGGGGGCGGCTGTCGTCGGGGATCGCCGCGATGTCGGTGGAGATGTCGGAGGTGGCGCCGCCGCTGTTGCTCGTCGAGCTGAGGCTGGAGGTCGCCGCCGGCGACGTCGACGGCGGCGACGGCGAGGTGAAGGGGTTTGGGTGGGAGCAGCTGAGAATGGAGCTAGGTGATGTAGTTAGGGCTTGGCATAGTTGTGAGGATTTGTGTGAAATTTAGGGGGGTGTTTGTAAATGGCAAGGGACTCTTTTGTAGTTTGGAGATGTAATTGTATAATATAGCAATGTATGAATGCTAGATTTATTCTCAACATTTTTCTTTTAAATTATATAATTACTAAAAAAATGACCGTGCGTTGCAACGGGTGGTGAATGCTATTTTAATCTTATTATATTTGTGCGGTTTAGCTATAATGAAATTCACTGTGGGAATTCGCTTAGATATTTTTTAGAAAATTATTAGCTGCATTTAGAAGTCCGACTTCCATCTCAATTTAGCATGCGAGTTTTATTAAAGAGATTCCTTATATGACCCCTTTTGTATTTTTAAAAGCAAACGAATTTACAATCCAACTCAAACACGGATATGTATTTCCAAAAGCGAATGAACTTAAAAACCAACACAAATGCGGATGACGTACTAAAATACCGGCAAAACATCTTCAATTTTTATAATAGTAGAGATATATAATTATTAGGATTTATGAGAAGGTACTATGTACTGTGCTACTGTGCTAGCTAGCTACAACTCTCTTAGTTTGCAGCGCAAACACAACTCATTATTTTCGCTACCTTAACTCCCTTAGTTTGCAGATTAAACACAATATTTTCTTTTGGGGAGAATAATCTTTACAATCACCTACAAATCTAAAATACATGTGTAGACAATTACCCCTTCTTCCTAATGCATATAATGCTCGTACATATGCATGTCCTAAAGATCTAAAAAATTATAAATGCATTTTCCATGGTCTAAATTTCCTAACATGTAACCTTGGGCTTGCAGTATGTAGCCTGGAGAAGCTACAAACATGGTGAATTTCATTTGGACCCCTAGCTAGCACGCTGGCGGCGATGATTTCATTTAGTTAGCACGCTGGCGGCGATGAGGGCAACAGAGGCAAAGAACTATATCCAGAAGTTGACATCATGTCCGAGGTAGAGGCGACCTAGCCCCGTAACGTGGAATCGATTATCTTTGCTATTGGGACACACACTTATTAACATCTCTAACTTGGTCTATGTAACAAACAAATAAATATAATTGATTTTGATTCTTATACATAAATTAGCTCACGGCATATAGAAGTAATATGATTTACTTCTTATACCTAAATTAGCTCACGGGATATAAAATTAATATGATTTAAACATGTATGAATGTGGTTAGTTCTGTCTTAACTAAATCTCTGGGCAGTTAGCGAGAATGTAAATTCATCAATGCATGGACGTATATGCATTTGACTTAACATGGACGTATATGCATTTGACTTAACCAGTATAGATTACTACTTGTGTGAAATTTTCTCTCTAAAATAATTTTATGATTTTGCATGACAACTTTATTTAATTAGTTTTCCTCCAATTTCTCATTACCAAATCACGCTAACAGCTAATTTAGTCTAGTTCATCATCATGAAAATTGAGGAGCAAGATGCGAAGGACACAGTTTGGTGATAGCAGATGACATTTATGTGGTGCTACTTTTAACGGCTCCATTTTACACTTTATATACAAGTATACAACTAAAAGTTCATGCATGATTTGTGATGCTTTTCCCTTTTCTCACGCGCTTCTTGGTAAGTCACACAAAATCAGTTCCTTTCATGTACTTCTCTTTTTTTTCCCATTAATTTGTTTGACTGCATATACTGCCGCCAGAGTTGCTCCATTCTCAATGCAAAAAACGAGAGACAAACAGGAGTATAAATATGGAAAAGGTTAAGAAAACAATGTTGAACTAGAGTTTATTCAAGTTCTCTTTGACAAAAAATTAAGAAAAAAAAGATACCATGCTTGCTCTGTTCTGTATTTATCATCCAGATTATCTTGCTCTGCTCAGGACATGAACTGTTATACTATGTCACATTTGATATTGTGTAGCAACTCTCATTCCAAAAAAGCTCACTTTAAAGTTCAGGGTGCCACATGGATGCCTTTATATTCTATAATCTCTCTCAATCAAGAAGAGATTATAATAAAAATATTCCTACTTAAAACAAAATCATTAGATGGGTTTGATCAAGCTGGTTCCCATATTGCGCTGAAAAAAAGTATAGTTTTTTTTTTAACATTAAAAAAAAAGTATAGTTAAAACATCATAGCTGATTATCTACTATCCTACAACTAACCCTCCTTTCCTTTTCAACAATAAGACAAGCTGCAGTCAGAAATAGTCAATTATATGCGTAATGGCATATGGTGTTAGATCAGTCCTACAAATCTAATAATAAGGTGTTAAGGCAAGCACCAATTAATTTTTGAGAAATGGAAAATAAAAAAAAAGATACGTCTCCAGACTTCTGTACGTACTCAATGCAACCTGTATGTCCATAATCTTTAGCTCCATGCGTGTATGCGTTGTTGATTTGTTATGCTGATAATAATCTTGTGCACTTGTACCATCTAGATCGGTTGCACTTATATTGCAAATCCACCCAGAGTTAGAACATGGTGAATTCTACCTGAACTAGGGGACAAATAGGACAGTGGAAACATACCATAGCCACAAATAAATAACGACCTCAGGTGATTCACAAATATAATTAATTTCACTTCGTATCAAACTTAATTAGAAAGAAAAGATAGATAATGTGATTCAAACATGTACGAAATGTACTTAATTTGTTAATCTCAGTAACTTAGTTTAACTTACTAAGTCTCTAGGCAGTCACCGCTGTTGCTCGTCGATCTAAGGCTGGAGGTCACCGTCGACGTCGACGGCAACGGCGGCGAGGTGCAGGGGTTCGGATGGGAGCAGCTGAGAATGGAGCTAGGTGATGTAGTTAGGGCTTGGCATAGCTGTGAGGATTTGTGTGAAGTTTAGGGGGGTGTTTGTAAATGGCAAGGGACTGTTTTGTAGTTTGGAGATGTAATTGTAATATAGTAATGTATGAATGCTAAATTTATTTTCTCTTTTTCTAAAATTATATAATTAGGATTTATCAGACCAAATACTAGCTAGCTATTAATTCGCTTGACAGGGTAAACGCATCTCATTATTTTGCTGTGGAGAATCAATCTTTAATTAGTACCTACAAATACATATGTTGTGATAGATATTTAGCCTTGTTTCTTTTAGTCCATAGAAAGAACAAATATATGCGTAATGTTCATACATATACATGTCCTACCTATCTAAAAGAATCACATATACATTTCCTAAAGTCTAACTTCCATAAACTATAGCTCTCGCATATATGGAGTATAGATCTTGCAGTTGTAGCATGTAGCGTGTAGAAGTGGCAGACATGGTGAATTCCATTTGGGACGCTTGGTACCATGCTGGTTGGTGGCGAGAGGTGAGCAGTTGCAGCCTAAAGTTGGTCATCACATACGAGGTGGAGGCGACCTACTCCTGTCACACTTCTATTGTCTTGCCATTGACATGTTCGAGTGTAGATAGATCGACCAATTGGGCTCACACTTATGTACATCTGCAACAAATAAATATAATTGATTTTGTTGTGAATTAAATTCACATGTGATAAATGCAATGTGATTTAAACATGTATGAACATGGTTAGTTATGTCTTAACTTACCAAGTCTTTTGGGCAGCGATTGTTGGTCTACTTCGCATAATGCAGATTCTATCTATGCATAGAAGTACATGCATTGAATTCAACCGGCGTGGAAGAATGCTGGTGTGCAATTTTTTCTCTAAAATAATTTTAGGATTTTGCATGATAACTTTATTTTATTAGTTTTTCTCCAATCTCTTTATCACCAAGTAAAAGTATACTAATAGCTAATTTAGTCTGGTTTATCATCATGAAAAGCGAGGAGGAAGATGCAAAGAACACAGTTTGGTGATAGCAGATGATATTTATGTGGTGCTACTTTTAACTGCTCCATTTTACCCTTCATATACAAGTATACAACTAGAAGTTCATGCATGATTTGTGTGCTTTTTCCCATTTCTCACACGCTTCTTGGTGAGTCACACAAAATCAGTTCCTTTCATGTACTTCTCTTTTTTCCCCATTTATTTGACTACATCTACTGATCCCAGAGTTCTCCATTCTCAATGCAAAAAAACGAGAGACAAACAGGAGTATAAATATGAAAAAGGTTAAGAAAACAATGTTGAATTAGAGAGTATTCAAGTTCTCTTTGACAAAAAAATAATAAAAATGATACCATGCTTGCTCTGTTATGTATTTTCCATCCAGACTAGCTTGCTCTGCTCAGGACATGAACTGTTATATTATGTCACATCGTTTCAAGGATGAATTGTGCCATATTTGATAATGTATAGAACTCTCATTCCCAAAAATCTCAGTTTAAAGTTCAAGTGCCATTTTACCATTCTATACTATCTCTCAAACAAATATTCTTACTTAAAAACTAAATCATTAGATGGGTTTGATTAAGCTGGTTACCATATTGCGCTGAAAAAAGTAGAGTTAAAACATCATAGCTCATGTACTATCCTACAACTAATCATCCTTTCCTTTTCAACAATAAGACAAGCTGCAGTCAGAAATAGTCAATTATGTGCGTAATGAAATATGATTCGAAGTATACGCCCAGATCCTCATTACGAAAGCAGAGGAAAAAAAACGAGTAAACAATAAAAGTTTTGTTATAGGAGGCTACAGTTGTGGCATGCAAAGTTCCATTTTCCTCATCATATATACAACTGTTCATGCATCAAGCTCCAGATTTGATACTTTTCTCCCTTCCTCATTCAAATGGTGAGTCACAAAATCAGTTCCTTTCATGTACTTCTCATTTTTCCCCGTTCATTTGACTGCATATACTACTAATTGCTCGGCCCAGATTTGCTCCAGTTATCAGTGCAAAAAACAGAGACAAATAGGAGTATAATAATGGAGAAGATTAAGAAAAAACAATCTTTGGTAAAAAAAATATGAAAAAGATGTTGGAAATATAGTCATTAATCGGCATATTTTAATCCAAGAAATTGAAACAATGATCATGGCATAAGCAGTGTAGGGTGATCTTAACATAACCAGTAGCATACTATGCGCATCATGAATGTCAGGAACAGGAACATACCAGTAATGCGATAACATGCTAGAGGCATCATGTAGAACAGGAACAAGAACATAGCGCACATAGTATAGCGATAGCGCTAACAAAGGGAACAGGAATAGCGCTAACAACAGTAGCAGGAGGAGAAGATTATACCCCGAGAATGGCCCTCCGCTGGATGGTGTGGCAGAATTGCCTCCGTTGTTGTTGTCGTTCACGGCACCTCCTGGCGCACCAGCTCCGGATCCAGCTCCTGTCGGCGGCGTACCACCTCCGCCAGCAGTGGCGGCGGCAACTCCAGACATGGCGATGAGCAGTCGTGCGGGAAGCACTCCCCAAAAACCTGATCACCCGCCTACCCGGTGCAGATCTCAGGCGAAGGTGTGGTTTCGGAGGCACTGCTCCTTCCAATCTCTCGTGCGCGCAAGAGATCAGAAGCGAGGAAGCGAGAGCAACTCAGACGCGGAGAAGAAGAAACTAACACCGGGAAAGAAGCGAAGAAGACGGATCGGACTCGCGGCCTCCTTATCTATCAGGAGAAAGAACGTGGACGCGCTGTTGCGGAGGGAATCGTGGGAACGTGGGTTAGTGGCTGCAAAAGGATAGCGACGTGACGCACGCACGCACGCCGCCAGCCAGCCACGCCCACGCCCGGCCCGGCGCGCGCGCGTGTGGCATTCCGACCCCTACCTCAACTGGTCAACAGGGAGCCTCCAATAACTCCTTATTTAGGTTGAGATATTTCTCGCTTAAATCCTGAGGTGGTATTATTATCCTCAACACTTATTATGGGCCTTTGAGATTTAATATTATAGTTGGGCCTAGCCCAATTATTCTAACAATCCCCACCAAATTTCAAGGCTCATAAGAAATGTTCTCAATGTTGTGCCTGTTTGATATACCAGGGTTTTGGTGGAGACTGTTAAGTTGAACTTCCACCTAGGAAATGAGCTACATCAGACCACAACTTAACAATGGACTATGCCTTGAATTGTGAGTTTTGTGTGATCAGATTTCACTCAGAACCTTGACTGGTACTGGGCTGCCGTTTGCATCCCCTCTGTTTGGAGCATATAAGTCAAACTCCAGGCCTTTCATGAGTAACTAGAGATCGCCCAAACCTCATAGACTGTGACTAGCAGTCGAACTCATATAGATGTGTTCCTTCTGAGATGTTCTGCAGGTCAACATCTCTGCTTGGAAAAGCCACTCGGATCACATTAAGACATAAGCCATCCTACCATGCATGAAAGAAGAGAAGCACATCATGAAAATGAGCCCCTTTCAAGGGTCTCTTCTCTTAGTCACACAATAGTTTGTTTCACCATCCAAATTCACGGGATCTCCGATCATAATGCACAGGTTTCAACTATTATGCAACCTTAGGTGGGTATCAAGCCCATTTCCCTCGATGCACTGTCAATCACATTACGTGGTAGCCCCTTGGTAAACTGATCTGCCAGATTTCTAGCCTTTTGGACATAGTCCAATGCTATCACTCCGGAGTTTTTCTGCTTTCTGACAGATTTCAGTCTTCTCTTGATTTGTCTAGATGACTTCATGTTGTCCTTTGAACTGTTCACTTTAATAATCATTGTTTGATTATCGCAGTTCATTAGGATAGCTGGCACTGGTTTTTCAACCACCGGCAAATCCATCAGGAGTTCACGAAGCCACTCGGCCTCAACTGTCGCAGTATCTAGTGCTGTAAGTTCTGCTTCCATTGTTGACCTCGTTAAGATGGTCTGCTTGCAAGACTTCCAGGAAACAGCGCCACCTCCAAGTGTGAACACATATCCACTTGTGGCTTTTATCTCATCAGCATCAGATATCCAGTTTGAGTCACTATACCCTTCTAGTACTTTTGGATACCCGGTATAGTGAATTCCATAGCTCATAGTGCCCTTTAGATAGCGCATTACTCTTTCCAGAGCCTGCCAATGATCATCTCCCGGATTTGAGACAAACCGGCTCAGCTTGCTTACAGCAAATGAGATGTCAGGCCTCGTTGCGCTAGCCAAGTACATCAATGAACCAATGATTTGAGAGTATCTCAGTTGATCCCTTGCTATTCTTTGGTTTTTCCTTAATAGCACGCTGGGATCATAAGGAGTAGGAGCTGGCTTGCAGTCACTATATCCAAAGCGACTTAAAACCTTGTCCACATAGTGGGATTGCACAAGTGTAATCCCATCCTCATCTTCTCTTTGTAGTTTGATGTTAAGAATAACATCAGCCTCTCCCAAATCCTTCATTTCAAAACTCTTGGACAGATAGTCTTTGACCTCCTCAATCACATTAAGGCTGGTCCCAAAGATCAGTATGTCATTGACATATAAGCACAAGATCACCCCTTCTCCCCCACCATAGCGATAGTATACACATTTGTCAGCTTCGTTCACAACAAAGCCTGCAGATGTAAGCGTGGTGTCAAACTTCTCATGCCATTGCTTAGGTGCTTGCTTGAGGCCATACAAGGATTTCAATAGTTTACACACCATTCCCTCCTGACCTTCTAGTACATACCCGTCTGGTTGATCCATATAGATCTCCTCCTCCAGCTCTCCGTTTAGGAAAGCTGTCTTAACGTCCATCTGATGGACGAGAAGACCATGAGAGGCTGCCAGAGCAAGTAGTACTCGAATCGTGGTCAAGCGAGCAACTGGTGAGTATGTGTCGAAGAAGTCCTCGCCTTCCTTTTGGGTATAACCCTTGGCCACAAGCCTTGCCTTGTACTTTTCGATTGTACCATCAGGCCTAAGCTTTTTCTTGAAAACCCATTTGCATCCTACGGGCTTGCACCCATATGGACGCTCAACGACTTCCCAAGTACCATTAGACATAATCGAGTCCATTTCACTGCGTACTGCTTCCTTCCAGTAGTCAGCGTCAAGAGATGAATATGCCTCTTCTATGGTTCTTGGGGTGTCATCCACGAGGTATACAATGTAGTCATCTCCAAAGGATTTTGCAACCCTTTGTCTCTTACTCTTGCGAGTATCTACAATGTTGTCCTCCTCAGGATTTTCCTCAGGCGTTTGATCATTGTGTTCTATCGGTGCAAAGTGCTCATGGGGCATGACAGTTTCTTTACTAGAAGTGCTAGGTGTATATTTCATAGGAAATTCATTCTCAAAGAATGTAGCATCTCTGGACTCAAGAATTGTACCAGCATGCATGTCGGGTACTCCAGAGTTTACTATTAAGAATCTATAACCCACACTGTGGATAGCATAACCAAGAAACACACAATCAACAGTTTTTGGTCCAAGTTTCCACTTTTTGGCTATAGGTACATTTACCTTGGCCAAACAGCCCCATGTTCGTAGGTATGAGAGATTTAACTTCTTCCTTTCCCATTCCTCGAATGGTGTTACTTCCTTATGCTTCATTGGAATTTTATTCAGGACATGACACGCAGTCAAAACTGCCTCACCCCACCATTCCTTGGAAAGCCCCGCAGTGTCTAACATGGCATTCACCATCTCAGTTAGAGTACGGTTCTTTCTTTCGGCCACCCCATTTGATTGGGGTGAATAGGGAGGCGTCATCTCATGAATAATTCCAAACTCTTCGCAAAAGGATGCAAACTCATTGGAAAAATACTCCCCACCTCTATCAGACCTCAACCGTTTGATTTTCCTTTCAAGTTGGTTTTCTACCTCAGCTTTATAGATTTTAAAGTAATGCAATGCCTCATCCTTTGTTTTCAATAGATACACATAGCAAAATCTAGTACAATCATCTATCAGTGTCATGAAATATTTCTTTCCCCCTTTAGTCAACACGCCGTTCATTTCGCACAAATCGGAATGAACAAGTTCTAGAGGTGCCAAATTCCTCGCCTCAGACGCCTTGTGAGGCTTGCGAGGTTGTTTCGATTGAACACAAGTATGGCACTTGGAACCTTTGACCAAAGTGAATTTTGGAATTAAACTCATGTTAGCTAAGCGCGTCATACAACCGAAATTCACATGACAGAGTCGCGAATGCCACACATTTGACTCATCATTCTCGCTAATATGGTTCACAGCATTATGATTATTACACATGTCATTCAAAGAAAAGCGGAACAAGCCTCCGCTGTCATAACCTTTTCCAACAAAAGTCCCATATTTAGAAACGACACATTTATTGGACTCAAACACAAGTCTAAAACCTTCTCTACACAATAGAGAGCCGCTAACTAGATTCTTCTTTATTGAAGGGACATGCTGCACGTTCTTCAGCTGCACGGTCTTTCCCGAAGTAAACTTCAGATCGACCGTACCAACACCATGAACAGCCGCAAGCGACCCGTTTCCCATCAACAAGGAGGAACCTCTCCCAACCTGATAAGAAGAAAACAGAGAAATGTCAGCACATACATGAATATTAGCACCAGTATCCACCCACCAATCAGGTGAATGAAAAACAGAGAGAACTGTAGGTAATATTTTACCGTACCCCGATGTTCCTCCGCCCTCGCTAATGACCATGTTGGCAGACTTCCTGTCTTTGCGCTCAGGACAGTCCTTGGCCCAATGCCCAGACTTGCCACACACAAAGCAGTCTCCCTTTGCCTTTCCCTTGCCTTTTTTCTTAAAATTGGT